GGTAATAATAACATCCCCCTTAGGGTCATGGTGAGGATCAAATAAGATAGTATTTGTAAAGAACTTTATAAACCTTAAAGCACTATATAAATGTTAGTTCTTATTATGATTATTTTCAACATTAGACTCCATGACTTTTTCAGTGGATTCATACAAATTTATTTTAAGACTTGATTATTTGTTGGAATAAGGATATTTAGAGAGGCAGCATCACGGAGAAGAAAGGGCCCTTGACCTGAAGTCAAAAGACCTGGGTTCTAATCTTGGCTGTGGGGCTTACTAGCTCTGTGATCTATACAGGACAAGTAACCTCAACTGTATAAAGAAAACTTTCTTTTGCCATACAAAGGGAATGATACTTTTACAATCTTTTTTTCACAGGGAAAATGTAAGGAAAGCACGTTGAAAAACAATATGCTATAGATTGGTGAGTGGTGATTTATAGGTTTCTCTCATGTGGCTGAATTCCTTGTTAAACTCTATTTTTATTATCCTTAGTAACAGATTCCTTTTCCTGCTAAAAGTAGGAAGGTTAGAAGCAGGTAATATGAGCGTCATCCTGCCTGACTTCTGCTCTATTGGCAAGGCAGCCCTGGAATCCAACAACTGTGTTATAGCAAGGTCCACCTCTGTGACATCCATGTTGCTGGGTTTGTTTGTTCTTTTCACCTCATTGTTCTGAAGTAACACCTGGTACAAGATCTCATATTAGAGTTCTGTGTGAAATCTAAATAAAAGGGTTAACTAAGTCAGGTCAACTGGGGCTTTGCACCAAGGTGCCAGAGTTATAGGGTATCAACATCATTTGCGGTCCTTAGCAGCACAGAAACAATAGAGCTAAGTATTCTGTTAGCAAGAGCAAATACTTGAAGCAAGAAGTTGCTAAGATGGTATACCTGGGTAAATCCCTTCCTTGACTAACACCCTCACCCCTCATCCAGTGAAGTACACATGCTTCAAGTCACCTGCCCCAAGCCAATTTGTAAAATTTGCCCTATTTGCCTGAGGTGCAAAAATTCCTGCTCCCTCTTCTTTTACACCTGTTTTCCCCAGCTGTCTCCACCTGTTTTTCTACTTCTTTGTCCTTTAATACATCCTTTTTGCTCATGCCAAGGGCTAGAATTCTCTCTTGGATAGGTAGGTAATATCTAGTGTGGGATGTGTCATGACCCCATTGTTGCACTGATATGGCTGAGAGTCAGGAGTTCTGTTCTTGCCTTTAACTTGTGAATTAACTAGCTTAAGAATTTTCCTCAATCTTTCCCTGCCTCAGTTTGCTCATCAGTAAAATGGATCAAACATATCTGCCACAATAACATCCATGAAATTTTACAGAGTGGTTGCAAGGATAAAATGAGGCAGTAGAAGTGAAGACACCTTGAAAAAAGTTTAAAATGTTAGGCGATTATGAAATAATTTTTTGTATACATTCATTCAAGACACATTTCCGTGCCTATTACATTCAGAGTACTGTACAAAGGGCCATCTGGGTACAGAAGAGAACATAAGATGGGGTCCCTACCCCCCGGAAACCTTCTAGTGGAAGAAGCAGAAGCCTGTATGAGGAGGCTAAGGACTGAAGTCCAAAGGGAATACTAATTAGCAAATTAATTAGCTATAACAATGTTGATATTTCCATTCCCAGCTCTTACCACTTATTTATTTGAACTAAAATCTTTTATCTCTTCATTAGAGTCATTAGTACCTTTCAGTAAATGATACTATAAAATTGTTAACTGTCATAGTCCTGCTTGGGGAATGGGTTGCTCTGGAAAGGCATATTTTCTAACCAATTGAGAGTTTACCCTTTTAAACACTTATTTTATTGTAAACATTTATAGATGGAAATCATCCTAAAATTATATGCTTATCTCCCTCTTAAATATGTAGTTTAACCTTTTCTTGATGACTCAAGGTCAGCATTATGAATAGCAATTACTACACTGTTCTATAAATATGATGAAAATAGAATAATATTCTCAGGGCTTATAAAGGTGTACACCAAATTACCCCAGACCACTTTACTTTATGAGTTTTTCTGTTTCCTTTTTATTGTGTTTCTGTCACCTTATGGCAATTCAATGTAATGCAATAAACATTTATTTAGTGGAGCAAGCCCTGGGCTACACGCCGAGACTATATGTGGTACCATGGAAAGAACAATGACTATAGAATTTAAGAAATGGAGATTCAACACCCTCCCCCTGGGATGAGTCTTACCTCTGTAATCTCTGGGACATCATGTAACTTTCCTGGTCCTCAGTTTCCCATCTATAAAAATTAGGGTGTTGGGATGGATCATCTTGAGGTCGCTTCCAGCTTTAGCTCTCTGATACCATGAAAGTTAAATTAAGATATGGTTCCTGCCTTAAGAGGACTTACAGTCTAACAGATGAATTAGACACCAGTGCAGATAAGCATATCTACTCGATCCCATGTTCAGGGTATGACCATCTTCCTTCCTTGGGGTTGCATTCTGCCCTCTGCCTCTCACCTGGATCTGGCTCTCCAGCTCCTGTCCTTATCTTCAGTTCATCATTTGCATTCCCCTTCAAATCCATATGCTACTCTCCAGCCAGGAAATCACCCCCTGTCCCAGTTTTGGTTCCAAATCTAGTACAGTGGATCATTCAGTGATTGAGGGTCCAGAAAAAAAAATTTCCATAATAAAAAACCTATCTAATTATTCCCAAGTAAAAGCAGTCCGCAAGCCAGCAAAAAGCAGTCCAGGAAGAAATAGGTAAGTAAAAGTCACTGGCAATTTTATTTTAATTTTTAAAATTTTAATATTTTTCCCAATTACACGTAAAAACAATTTTAACCTTTTTTTTTTACAGTTTTGAGTTCCAAATTCTATCCCATCCTCCTTCCCCTTCCCCTTCATTGAGAAGGCGACCAATTTTATATAGATTGTACATGTGTCATCATGCAAAATATATTTCCATATTAGTCATGTGGTGGGGGAAAAAAACATAGACCAAAAAAAACCCAAGAAAAATAAAGTCAAAAAGCAGTTTGATTTTATCTGCATTCAGATTCCATCAGTTATTTCTCTACAAATGGATAGCATTTTTCACCATAGGTCCTTCAGAATTGTCTTGGATCTTTACATTGTTGGGAATAGCTAAGTCATTCACAGTTGATGATCATACAGTATTGCTGTTATTGTGTACAATGTTCTCCTGGTTCTGCTCACTTCACTTTGCATCAGTTCATGTAAGTCTTTCCAGGTTTTTCTGAAAGCATCTTGCTCATCACTTCATTATAGTACAATAGTATTCCATCACAATCATATACCATAGCTTGTTCATTCAGTTAGAGAATGGTGGGCATTCTCTAAATTTCCAATTTTTTGCCAATGCAAAAAGGGCTGCTTTAAATAATTTTGTACAAAATGGTCCTTTTCCCTTTTTTATTTCTTTAGGATACAGACCTAGTAGTAGTATTGCTGGGTCAAAGGGTATGAATAGTTTTGTAGCCCTTTTGGCATAGTTCTAAATTGCTCTCCAGAGTGGTTGGATCAGTTCATAGCTCCACCAGCAGTGCACTAGTGTTCCAATTTTTCCATATGCCCTTAAACATTTGTCTTTTTCCTTTTCTGACTGTCATATTAGCCAATATGATAGGTATGAGGTGGTATCTCAGAGATGTTTTAATTTACATTTCTCTAATCAATCGGATTTAGAGCATTTTTCATAAGATTGTAGATAGCTTTGATTTCTTCTTCTGAAAACTGCCTTTCATAGCCTTTGACCATTTATCAATTGGGGAATGACTCATAATATTATAAATTTGACTTAGTTCTTTCCATATTTGAGAGATGAGGCTCACTGACATTTTAAAAGCAATCAGCAATGAAGTTCCCTGGGGTCTCAGGCGCTCCCTGCCAAAATCTTTAATTTGATTTTATGTCCTTCTTGGCAAAGGCCCACATCTGTGTCCCAGAACAGTCCACTTGGAGGAATAAAGTTAACCCAAACTATTCAAGGTCAGCTCCATTGTTTCTTAACTCACAATAGCCCCTGCTGGTGTTGTGTATGTCCATGAAGTTGACTCAAGCCTCTCCACTTCCATTAGTGTCTTGATCTACAACACCCATCCATGGACACTCTCTGATGTGTGTTGTTTTCCCCTTTTAGAATGTCAGCCCCTCGAGGGCAGGGACTGCTTTGCTTTTTGTATTTGTATCCCCAGTGCTGAGCACAGTGCCTGGTACGTAGTAAGAGCCTAATCAATACTTTTACATTAATTTATTTGTTAGAGAATTACCAAGAAAAGCACTGTATGATGTCTGAAAGGAAAGGTCATTACCAGTTGAATATGGGGATGAGGGAGATGAGAGAGGATCAAGACAGGTCTCCTCAGAGGCGGCTGGTGGTACAGTGGTAGAGTGCTGGGCCAGGAGTCAAGAAGTTGTTGTTGTTCAGTTGTGTTCAACTCTTCAGGATCCCATTCAGGGCTTTCTTGGCAAAGACACTGGAATGGTTTGCTATTTGCTTCTCTACTTCATTTTACAGATGAGGAAACTGAGGCAAAAAGGATTAAGTAACTCACCCAAAGTCACACAGCTATTATGTGTCTGAGATCAGATTTGAACTCACAAAGACGAGCTTTTCTGACTCCAGGCCTGGCACTCTATCCACTGCACCACCTAGCTGCCCAGGAGTCAGGAAGATCTGAGTTCAAATTCAACCTCAGGTATTTACTAGCTGTGTGACTCTAAGCAAGTCACTTAACCACTCCCATCCTCAATTTCCTCTATGAATAGCAACTACCTCCCTGGGTGGTTGTGATATATACATACACACACACACACACACACACATATATACACATACATACATACACATACATACATATATATATACATATATATATATATATATATCACTTTGTAAATCCTGTAAACTCTAGCTCTTATTAGAACTATTATTTCATCTCTAAGATTCCACCATTCTTGCTAACCATCATGAATCACATGGATGGTGCTTTCCCCAAAGGTGACGGCAGAGCTGGATGCCTGGAACGAGGACCTGCTGAGACAAATGAATGACTTCAACACCGAGGACCTGACCCTGGCAGAGCAGCGGTTACAACGTCACACGGAGAGGAAGCTGGCCATGAACAACATGACCTTTGAAGTCATCCAGCAGGGCCAGGATCTGCACCAGTACATTATGGAGGTCCAGGCCTCAGGTAGGATGCATGACCGCCTCGAGGCTGGGTTCAGAGCTACGAACGGGAAGAATCACAATGGTAATAATGCCCATTTGTCCCAACAGGACCTATTTTACATGGCGTTCTTAAATCTGTCAGTTAGCCTGGGGCGGGGGGCATTGTTTGTTTGTTTGTTTTTGACATCTCTATAACATAGAAAGGACAGGCATGGCTCATCTGTGAAATGGGTTCAAAAGCTATCACTGTCTACTTCTCAATGGTTTTGTAAGAAAAACACTTCTAAACTTTTTTATTATTGTCCCCATTTTCCATATATATGTGTGTGTGTGTGTGTGTGTGTGTGTGTGTGTATATGTATATATATACACACATAGACACACATGTATCTCAATGCCCAGAGAAAAGTGAATTGATTTGTCCAAGATCATTCTGCCAGACTATGACAAAACTCAGATTAGAACCCAGATTTCTTGATGTTCATCTCAGGGAATTGGCCCACTAAACGATGCTGCTTCCTTACATAGATGATGCTCATGATGGCATAGGAGAATAGACAGTATCCGGGCAATCTTGACTCCAGAGCAGCGACAGTGAAACGCACCTCTCTCCTTTTTGGCAGAGAGGGGACAGATTGAGAAATGTGTTTGCATACGTGGTCAAGTTTTTCTTCTTTGTCAGTCAGTCCACAAATACTTATTAAGTACTTATATGGATTAATCACTGTGCTAAGCGCTGGAGATAGGAAAGAAGGCAAAAACATTGTTGTTTTTGAGTCATTTCAGTCACGTCTGACTCTTTATGACCCCACTGGGGGTTTTCTTGGCAAAGAGACTAGAATGATTTGCCATTTCCTTTTCCAGCTCATTTTACAAGTGAGGAAACTGAGGCAAACAGGGTTAAGTGACTTGCCCAGGATCACACAGCTAGGAAGTGTCTGAGGTCAGATTTGAACTCAGGTCTGTTCTGTCTCCAAGTCCTGCACTCTATCCACTGTGATACTTAGCTGTCCTGAAAAACATTCCACCTGCCCTCAAGCTTAACACACAAATAACTAGATATATATGAAAGATGGAAAGTAGTCTCTAAGGGCAGACGCTGAAGTGAGGATGTGGTGGGGGTAGGGAACATTGTGACTTGGAAATGCCTCCTACAGAAGGTAGGATTTTAGCTGAGTATAAAGCGAGCCAGGAAAGCTGAAAGATGGTGGTGAGAAGGGAGAGCATTCTAGCTATGAGATCCCCTCCCATGAAAAGGCATGAGATAGAATGTCACATTTGAAGAACAGGATATGTGGAGCCTAGATGTATTTGGAAATAGGTTTCATGGAAGGGAATAAAGTGTAAGGAAACCAGAAGGGGCTAGGCTGTGAAAAGCCTCAAATGCAATGCCAAGCGGGACTTTGGCATTGATCCTAGAGGTAAAAGGGAGCCACAGCAGTTTAATGGGCAGGGAAGTGACACGGCTAAACCTTTGTTTTAGGAAAATCACTTTGGCACTGTGTGAAGCTTGGCTTGCAGGAGCGGAGACTTGAGGCTTCAAAGCCAATGAAAAGCCTATTGTAATAGTCCAGACAAGAGGTGATGAAAGCTTCTACTAGAAAGGTGTGTGCACCCACATTTCATGTGTGTGTGAGTGAGTGAGGAGACAGACATTATGAAAGATGTAGTGAGAGCCAAAATGGTTCCATTTGCAGGGGAGGGGGAGTGTCATTTAGAAGGGACAATAAAACTAAAAAAAATGTCAATGAAACTTGTACTTTGAAAAGAAAGAATGGATGGTCCCATGGAAACTAGAAGAAGACTAAGGCTTAAAAATCAACTAGGCTGCCCATAAAAGAAACTGGGTGATAGATATCAAGTATGAATTATAATCAAAATGTCGGCATGTGTTCCGGGTATTGGTTCTCCATCCTCAATAAGCACCTTATTGTGTTTTTTAAATGTAGATGTAGACTGACTGAATATTGAGATAGTTTAATAAAATTGAATGCAATGATTAAATTTTATAAAGCTAGATTATTATAGAATTTTTCCAAATATTAATTCAACTAAATTATATTCAACAAGAATTTATGAAATTCCTACGATGCAAAGTGCCATGCTAAGTGCTAAGAATTTGAAGACAGAATGAAAAATAGCTCCTGACCTCAGGGACCTTACATTCTACTGGGGTGTTACATTCCCACAGGTAAAGGAAAGATCATTGGAGAAGGGTGAGACAATTTAAACTAGGGGGAAGGAGATAGTATATATCCTATAGGAGATGGTACTTGAGGGAAGTCAAGGGGCTATATTGGAAAGATGATATTGAAAAGAAATATAAGGTCTAAATTGCATTGGATTTTTATAAAATGAATAAATATTTGGTTAATATGGCTCAATAATTAGACATGGCATTGACTTGGCTATTTTCTTACAAAACCATATATACAATATGAAGTTATCAGAAATAGGTATGGTTTTAAAATAACATTAACATTTTAGAGTAATTTCAATAGTGAACCATCTTAAAATAAATTAGCCATTCTCTATTTGGTAAAGAAAAGCAATCCAAAGTATATATGTGGAAACGTGAAACATAACTTCTGCAATTCGTTTTTATGAATAATAGTCAAAGAAATCACTGGGAGAGTCGATGTGAAGAGGTGGACAGATTCCTGAACTGGGAGTCAGGATACCTATGTCCTAATCTCAGCTGTATATCTACTTGCCTATATGACCTTAGGCAAGTGATTTCACTCCAGTAGGGCTGGACCAGGTATTCTCTAAGGTTTCTTCCTCTAAAACGCTACGATTCTATAAATGTCAACTCTGTCGTTGTTTGTCCTTTGTTCTCGAAGCGGACCAATGACGTCACAAAGATGATGTCTTGACTTGCACATGAATTGGATTTAATGATTCCATGACTGCTGCTACTCAGGACCAGACTCAGAGTACCTTGCCCCTTGTAGGAAGAGCTGTGAATGTAGGATGGGCCAGTCACAATGACTATAGAGCTTCATGTGTGGTTGTGCAGCATCTCTGCATAGTTGGTTTGGACTGCATGGAGTCAACTTTATCCCTTCTCTGAATATTCCCTGATCAGAAATTAATCTCCTCTACAAGCTGTATTCCCAGCTTTGGAATCTCTAGGAAACTAATTTGTGGCTTGTTACTTGCAAAATCATAGAATGTTAAAAAAAAAAAAAAACAACAGAAAGGATCTCAGGTGCCATTCAGTCTTTTTTTGGGGGGGTAATTGAAGTTAAGTAACTTGCCCAAAGTCACACAGCTAGTAAGCGTCAAGTGTCTGAGGCCAGATTTGAACTCAGGTCTTCCCGACTCCAGGGCCGTTGTTCTATCCACTGTATCATCTAGGTGCCCTGTGCCATCCAGTCTTGCATTCTCATTTTTTCAGAAATGGAAACTGAGGCACAAAGCAGTTGTAAATTATAAATTATAATTATTGCCATGTAAATATAATTTGAGGTTTCTAAGACATTTTGCATGCATTTCCTCTTTTGAGTCTTGTAACAACTCCATGAGGTAGATACTGTGGGCATTATCATCCCCATTTTAAAGATGAGGCAACTGAGGCTCTGAGAGATTAGTGCTTTATGCAGGGTCACATAGTTTATCGAGTCAGAGGTGGAATTTGGACCCATATCTTCCTGAATCTAAGACCAGCGTGCTTACCACTATACCCACCATCTCGTTACTTTGACCTTTATTAAACCAACACAATATTGGATCACTGGGATGAAGACAGAAATTCTTAACTCTAGTTAAATACAACTCCATATTCTTCAGTTTGTCTAGTAGGGTGCTTGTCTCAGAGTAAATGCCCAATAAATACTTTAAATGGTAGTGTCCTAGAGTTGGAAGGGACATTTAGCAGAGACGGGCTGGATTAATTGACACAGCACCCCAGGGGGTTTCTCCTTAAGGAATAGTTTTTAGGTCTATAAACAATCCCACTTTAGTGGCTATTAATAGCATAACCTGTCTTTTGGGCTTTGACTAGCTGTCAAAGGCCTGTCCTGAGCTGTCAAGGCCCGTCCTAGAGAGCAGTGGAATGTGTCTGTACTTTTCTATGGACAGGAAAAGCAACACTGCCCGGTGGCCTGAAATCACTGGCATAGCACTGCGACGTCTTCCAGGGCGGAGGGTACCATGGTTATGACCAGTGGATATCAGCGGACGTTAACCCTGTTTGCCTCAGTTCCTCATCTGTAAACTGACTGGAGAAGGAAATGGCAAACCACTCCAGTTATCCTTGCCGAGAAAACCCCAAATAGGGCTACATTATCCCCTTAATAAAAGGATTTGTTCTGTAAAACTTGGACTCAGTCGAAAGGCTGTACCCAAGGACTTAGAAGGCCACATGTGGCCTTAAGGCCAAAGGTTCCCCACCCCTGATTCTAGTGCAACAGCATGACAGAGTAGAAATTGTGCTGGCGGTGTGGAGTTAAGAGGACCTGAGTTCAAATCCCAGCACTGACACTGACTCTTGAGAACCTTGGGCAAATCACTTCACTTATCTGGAACTCAGTTTCCTCGGCTGTCAAACGAGGAAGCTGGATAAAGGTATCTCAAAGGTCCTTTTTCAATCTATTATCCTATGATTTTATGACTTGAAAATTTTAAATATTCAGTAAACAAGCAAACAAATAAATAAATACTCAGTAAAATATTCAATGAAAAATATTCAGTAGCAGAGCTCAGGGATGAACACAGATCTTTTGACTTTTCACCATTTCACTATTTGATCAATCCCAGGAAGTCGCTGGCGATTTTTGAGCAGAGAAGGAATGTGCAGGGATAGAAGACCGCCTGTCCCCACTGTTTAACTCCCTATTGATTCTTCCTGATATCTGTGTTTTGTTGAGACTCAGTCAGAACAGAAAGCAACAGGTGCCCAGGATGTAGGAAAAGAAAAGCAGGGCTGGGAAAATGGTCCCAGGAAAGATGGATAGGAAGCCATTCACCATCTCCCCTTTCCAAGTGAATGTTGTAACTCAATAAAAGGAACCTCCCCCA